CTGCCAACCTAGCAGTTCGAAAGCATGAAAAAAATGCAAGTAGAAAAATAGGGACCACCTTCGGTGGGAAGGTAACAACGTTCTGTGCACCTTCAGCATTTAGTCATGCCGGCCACATGACCACGGAGACGTCTTCGCACAGCACTAGCTCTTCAACTTTGAAACGGAGATGAGCACTGTCCCCTAGAGTCGGGAACAACTAGCACATATTGCAAGGGGAACCTTTACTTATATTAATAGCCGAGATGGCGCAGTGGGTAGAGTGCAGTACTGCAGGCCACTTCAGCTGACTGTTATCTGCAGTTCAGCTGTTCAAATCTCACCGGCTCAGGGTTGACTCAGCCTTCCATCCTTCCGAGGTGGGTAAAATGAGGACCTAGATTATGGGAGCGATATGCTGACTGTGTAAACCACTTAGAGAAGGCTGAAAGCCCTATGAAGCAGTATATAAGTCTAACTGCTATTGCTATAACAAAACACTCCACAATGTTCATTATAAAAATATGCAGCACATCGCAGTCCAGTACCTGTTGAAGCCATCCTCTGTGATAGACGATTTCAAACTCAAGAAGGACTTTCGCCACTCTGTTGTAGTTGCGAATTATAGGCTTCGCTTTTTCTGTCTGCAGAACTGTGGAATGTTTTTGGAATAGATTCATAGGTTCCTGGATTCGATGAAATAGCTGCCGTGCCCACAAGATCTTACCAGCCATGGGAGGAAGATTACGAGCCAGAGGAGGATCATTCTTGTGTTTTGAATACAGCCTAGTAACCATCTCAATGTCACGATCATAGTTTTGCAGAATGATCTGATATTTATTAGCAATGCCAAGATTAGGGATTCCAAGTCTATGAAAAAAAACACATCATCATAATCACGAAGGTTCAGTACATTTATTTTTCAGTTAATTATTCTGAAGAAGATTAGATTAGTTTAACTTTCTGAAGCAACATATTGGCTCCTTCATCAACTCCATGAGAGCACTTAGCCATAGCACATTGATATGTCAAACAGGAATGGACAAATCTATGTTACTGGGGAACTAAGAAAAAAAGTAGATTTATTTATTTGCATGAAGAAATGTGATATGCACCATTTTGTCACCTAAATTTTAAGTAGAAGGGTGCAAAAGATTTCAAACTCAAAATACTTTCCAGTTCTAAATATGAGTACAAAATGGTTTTGACTTTCTCAGGATTCTCTGACCCATTTCACAATATTGTAGGTATTGTATTGCATTGCCCTGCATTGTATTTTCATTTCTGTAATGTGTATTGTGCTGAATTCCAAAAGGGCTTTGAGCAGCTTGTAGCAGCATATAAAAGTACAACAAAAAGAACTTGGGAAAATAGCCAAACTTCAAAACTCAGCAAAGATCCATCTCCTAGCCATTTATATCGCAAGAAAAATGGTCCTAACAGCAGTACTGTAATCGCCTGTTTTATGCTTGAAAGAATGTTTCTTGGTTCAAATACTACCAGTGTTCTGACCCCCTCCTCCATCCAGTAACGAATGCTGAGACAAGCTTAACTGGAATGTACTTTAATACCAAGACACCAAAACCTCGGTGGCTGAAAGCCAAGCAGAACAAACAGATAAGGACCTTGGCAGCAACTCAGACAAACTCAGGCAGCAATAAACACAGATAAGGTTTGGCAGCAATCCAGACTGTCAAGCTCACAGTAAATGTCCTCCGACATTCAATCCTGTGTTGACTTCTGCAAAGAGGGGTGTGTGCACCAGTAGCT